GTAAATTATGTGTATGTGTTGAAAATATTTGGGTTTTTTTTTTGGCAATTTGCAATTCTACACGGTGTGTAGATTTGTATGGTGACAGTAAATGCATCATCTTATATCGGTGTTATGTCAACATTTTTATTTACAGTATTAACTGTAGCAGAGACAGTGAAGACATCTTATCATATCTGTGTTATCTATATTATGTTGCTTAAGGATAATGGGAAGATAATGGAAAACGTTCAGCATTGGTGACCAATGAATATTTTATTAATGTACTGAAGAGACACATCCATATTCACACCAAGCTATCTTCAGTATAGTGTGGTTGATGTCCAGGGCTTTTTATGACTCATTTGTTAACATTCAGCCTGTGATCGTACACAGAGTGGGCGAAGAGTTATTTGTAGTTGTGTAAAACTCATCCACACCCAAGAAAACCTGAAATATGTCTTTGAGTCACTGCACAAGTTACACAACAGCTAACGCCAGTGAGCCAGTAGTTCTGTTGTGTAACATTTCATGTCCAGGTTAAAAAGACTATGTTACAAGTGTCAAAAGTGACAAGCGTCACCAGTTACACCTGTGTATAAATAACTGATCAAACTTTTTCTGTTGCTCTCTATTCAGTTGCACCAAGTAGATCTGATGGGCATCACAATCAAGTCACTGGCTGAGATTGAAAAGGAGGTGAGTTGAAAAGTGTAGACAGGCACAAGATAGCTTTTTAAATCACTAAAGAAAGTGAAGTAAAGTTTTTTGTTTGTTTGTTTGCTTTTTTTTTTAAGCATTTTTAAACCTGTTAAGTTAACTTGACTGTTAACTTTAGAGCGGTTAGTGCCAGCAGTTGAGGTCAAATGGCAACATTTGTTTTTGTTTTTACCGTATTGGGCGTGATATTAGTGTATTTGTTTTTTTTATATTTTGTTCAGGATGTCTGTTTTTCATGGTAAAACGTGGACTGATAAACCTTTTATTTGCCTTTATCTGCAAGAAGTGTTTGCCAGTACTTCAGTGGACATGATCCACTCTTGAGTAAAACGTTTGACTTGTGATCAATGACAAAAAAAACGGTGCTAAACATCTCAACCCCTGGATGTATTGTTTATGACACCTGTCACTTCAATGTTTTACTATCAAGCAGTTTAAGATTCTATGAAGGGTTAAAAGAGGCTTTTAAGAAGCTGCCTGTTGACTAGTCGTTTTAGGTCTGGGTTAGTATAAGAAGATTGCTGGCTCGAATCCCAGGGCTTATTGGTTTGTCAATCATCCAAAAACTCATCTGCATAAAGGCTTCAGTAAAAACACAGCCCATTACTATAGGTTTTTAACCCAACAGAAGGAAAGGGTTTTTAGTGTAACACCACATCGGCACCACCAGAGGTCAGCGTGACTCATATGTTGCTCTAGTACAAACGACTCGAGGAAAGTATGTTTGGGTGTACTGTACCCGAGTGCACTGCACTTCAGTGGATCTCTGTCAGTCCATGTAACAGATGATGTTGTTGTGTCTCCGTCAGTATGATTACAGTTTCCGTACAGAGCACAGTGCGGCGGCCCGCCTGCCCCCCAGTCCGACACGGACCGCCCAAAGCTCAGACGCATGAGGAGACCTATCGACGACCCCGCTCCCTTTCACACTCCACTCTACAAACTAGTGGGAGAGACTCAAACACTACTGAACTGCCTACAGTGAACTACGAGCCCTCCCCATCTCTGCCTCCCTGCAACTGTGGTGCCCCCCCCCAAAAAACAAATTAACAAGAAGAACATCAGAACTTCTTTCTGTCTGCATTAAGTGTTTTAATAGAAACAGACTGAGAAAGAGACTAGCAGAAATGAAATGAGAGCGGACGACTTTAAAATAACATTGAACCTTTTTTTCCTTCTTCATGGATAAGTAAAAATAAACTTTGCACCACAGCCCCTGTGAAGGACTTGTGAACAACAAGATCAAGGGACCTGCTGTTGTGAAGGATGGCATCCATCAGACTTCTGCTGTCAGGAATGGACACACCCTGAGGGCAGAAGAAACTTTCTTTACACCCACACACACACACCTATTCCTACAGCGCTGCTGTGAACTAGGCACCTCCCACTTCACATCACTTCAAGATTTTCTTCAAGCTCATACTGACTGGCCTCATGGGCAACAGTCTCACTGTTCTCTTTACGTTACTGTGATATGCTTAAGTGTAAAAAGAAAAAGTGTGTGCACTTTTTATTTGGACGTGTCCATGTGCTTCCAGTTACCAGATATTATTCTGCAAACCACTCCCTCACTGTTGGCAGCTGAGCTGATATAAAACCACTTGTTTTAAAGTTAAGGGGACAGGTTTTTGTTGTTGTTGTTGTTGTTGTTTTTTATCTTTATACACAGACAAGACACCAGAGCCAGTTTCAGACATGGAGGCCAGTCTTGTGAACCACATGGCTGCCAGCTAGAAAAGACAAAAACGGGACAAAAGTCCAAGGTGGACATCTAAAACACAAGAGTTGATCTGCAGCAACCTCTGCCCGTGAATTCAAATGTGGTACTTGTGAGTTCTCTGTTTGCAGTTCCAAAGGGAGGAGGCGATGGTCTAGTGTTAGGGTTAAATAAAATCTACTTATCCAACCCCAGGGTTAAGCCTAAGTTAAAATATTGGCTAACATTACATGCCGTTGTTAATTAAGTTTTGTTTCATGGGTTTAAGCAAATGTAAAGGTTATTGACTCTTTAGCTAATTACATCTTCAACTGTTTCCTGCTGCCTTGTGTTTCCCTAGGTGTAACATTACAGTTAATAATGTGGCTTTGGTGTGTGGTCAAAAACTCTGCAAACTGAAGCTGGTGGGGATTTTAATAACGGTAACTATGTTTAGGGTGAGCCAGGGTGAGCGCCTGAGCTGGTTTTTAGCTGAACTGTAACACGTCCAGTCACACTTCTGGTGTTTTTATGGTCTTTGTTGGTTCATAGGAAAATACTCTTGTCTTCTATCCCCAGTACATACGTACAAGTATTTCTGCAATATTTTAAAGGCATCAATGCATGGATTAACACCTTTTACCTAATATTTTTTGATTAATGTATTAGTCATCGCAGTATTGTGACAATGTCTCAAAGGCTTTGTTGTTTTTCACCAGTGTAACCTATATAGTTGTTTGGAGTGTAAAGTAAAAATGCTTATTTGCAATTTGTTTGTGTGTACAACTGTGTGTTTGAGCTGACCGCATCAGATTCTTTTCTTTTTTTTTTTAGCTCCACATGTGTCTTAACAGGTTGTATCTAACTATCATTGTCTGCACTGACGTAGAATTGAACACTTCTGCTTTCACCGCTCATAGTTAGCATGCTAGAGGTGACGGGGTGTTTAGGACTGTTATTATTTTGTTTATGTTGTTGATCAAAAGTCAAAAGTTTTCCTCAAGAATGGATCATTTTCACTGAAGAACGAACAAACAAGCATCTGTTAACTTTATATCTTTAAGACACTTTATTAAACTGCATTGAAACCTAAATGGAATCTTTAATTTAATATTTTGGTCAAAGCAGTGTTAAAGTATGAGAGCCTTAGCTTTTTTTTTTTCCAAGTCAGTTAAACTACTGACTTAAACTTGACTCAAATGTCTTCTGTGACAAGACATGAAAACCTGGGAGTTAAGACTCGGACACTGTGACTCTAACTGAAACGGTAACAGCTCAATTCAGACTTCACTCTATTTTCTTCAGTGACTTGGACACTAGACTGCATGACACAATACAGCAGTAAACAAAGATTAAGTAATACTAGAGCAAAACACTTTCTTATTTTTAAATGACCAATCTAATCGTTTTAATGGATGAAAAAAAAATAAAACAACTGAAAACAATTCAAGCCAAAAGAGTCAAGCCAAGCTCCCGGGCCACCCCTGGTTTATAAAGCTTGTTTCTGGTGTGTGACAAAAACTTCTAAGACAGAGTGAGTCCCACAGCACCCTCTGCCCTGGAACAGTGCATCATATCCAGCCTATGCACTTCCACATTGGTATAATGCTACCTTCCAGCTCATCATACATTAATGGTAACGCAACATCAAGGAGTATCAGTATTGATAATTGTTATCGGCGGGACGACCCTAATAGTAATGTTTCGATGTAGCGTATGTTATTTGTAGTGACTAACGCTTGAGGAGTTTATTATTTCACTTATTGCAGTACCTTTGATGTATTTGATGTTTCGTGTCTGTCAATCCTACAGTCCACATCTAACCTGCACCAACAGAAGGAGACGATGGCCAGGGCCTGCAGTTTAACAAGGTCCTCAGCGCTAGTTTACAGCGTAGTCTGGAGACCCTGATGCCGGGATCCGCTAATGTGGAACATGCAGTTTCATTACCCAGAGTTGTTTGTGTTTTATACCACAACTGTTGCCAAATTTTTCACGACCTCTGTCAATGCTCAGACACATCACAGGGATTGGTATAAAAATGTGTTCACACATACGTCAGCTGTTGAGAGTTTCCTACGAAAAGCAAAACCAAAACAAAGTGTTTTCACAGTGTTTTGGTTGTTTTAATAAAAAGTCCACAGTAAAATTAAAAGTAATTAGAGATAGACTGTGTGTGGCACGTCTCCTCAAAGAGTCCATCGTGCTCTTTCATCTGCATGTGTACATGTGTTGGTATGATGTTTACAGAGAGTGAACGCCTACATCAAACAAGCTGTTGGCCTCCATGTTCCAAAGACAACAACTTACTCCACGTCGTTACTGCTTTGCTGCTTCCTTTGAATTTTCATACAGTTATAGACAATTGTACTAAATAAATAACCTAAAATTTTACCAGGACACGTGTCTCATTAGCAAACTAATAATATGCTTACATTACATGAATAAATCATAATTATGTTCATTAACTGCTCCATTCTTGTTTGTTGTAGATGACACAAAGAAAAATTCAGATGGGTTAAATTCATTCATGGCAATACATAAAGAATGAGGTCCATCAAACCAGAGGCTCTATCGTTAGCTAGCGAAAAAGTCTGGACCGTTGAGACTTTAGCGAGTAAATACTCTGGCAAACTTCATAGCGGGGTAAGTAATATACATATCTATTACTAAATGCATTTGGGTCCGTAGTGTTAGTATTTTATCAGAAATATTTCAATCGTTTTAGGGAGCTTTGTATCTGTCGACTTTGAATGAGGTGTCTTTCCTGGTTAGCTGTGTGTTTAAAAAAAACAATTTTGTTAGCGGCAAAATGACTCGCCGGGTGTTAGCATATAGCTAGTTGTTTTGTATTGTTTTTTTAGCATTGTTTTTCTTGTTTCGTGTGATTTGCGTCGATGTGAAGACTGTTAGTCATAACGAGTAGCACTGAATGTGAAAAAGCCTGTCCACCTGTTACTGTCCACCGCATCCTCAAGGAGAAACCACCGACTGAGAGAACTGCCCCGCTTACAGAGATTCAGGAAAGAAAACAATGACCATAGAGTGACAATGAAAATGGAGAAGACTTTCTTGTACAGAAGGCAAGAAGTAATTCAAGGACATCCATTGATAGCAGACTTGCAAAGCAGATGGACTCTGTTCACTCAGTGCAGGTGCATCTATTTAATGTATTTATTTCATATATACATATAATATCTAAAGAATGTGTTATATACTAGTGATGACCAGTTGTTTATCTCTTGACTATTACTGATATGATGCAGTGCTCAAACAAGTAATACCTCCTGGTAGTCACAATTCACAAGTACATTGTTCATGTTATTTAGATCGACAAGGAATTCCTGCACTCCATGCATGATGATCTCTCAATGCAAAGGTGGGCTGGCTGGAAGAAAATTGAGGAAAATCATGACGGCCTTCTCAAGGTGTGTATTAATATGGTTGGGCCTGTGCTTATTAAGTACCCCCCCATCATCTGTGAATTTACCTCAACAAAGACCATGATTAACTTTTGAAGGAATACATAGTGAATTACATTCTCCAGGTGTGACAGATATGTATGTACACTCACGGCACATTTCATACATTTACTTGCTTGATATTATGCATTATATATATATATATATTATGATATCTATTTGTAATGGATGCATATTATTCTCATACATCTCCAATTGTACAGATTAATATATGCTTTTATTAATACAATTTGATTTATTTTTTTTATAATTTTATGACCATCAAATAACAAAGTGATATTTTTTCCCTTCTAGTCTCCTTAGACCCATATCTAGACTCAAACAAATTTATTTATTGTTCTATTTTACTTCACAGAGCACTGAGGCCAATACAGAAGCCATGAAGCAAACTGTAGATGCTTACATATTTAGTTCTAAATACACCGAAAACACTAGTGATGAAAACACTGACTAAAACCAGATTTACATGAGTATTACGGACATAAGTAACAATAGTTCATTCAACAAGATGACGTTGGTATTACAGACAAAACATATAGTATAGTGTTTAATAAATGTAAAATTGACTTTATTTAAATGTCAACATGTTGCACAGATATGTTTTCTTGAAATCAAATGACCAAAATGGATTGATTTGACATGGCTTGTTTTGGTGGAATATCATTGGCAAGATAAAATTACATTCATCCAATGAATTATTTTAGGAGTTTACTACAGTCTTCATCTTTACAGCTTAATGCTCCATTCTAAAAAATTAGTGAAAAGGTGTGGACCTGTGTGTGTGACAGCTTATTGTAGCTAATGATCGTTTACACTTGTCATTAAGATCATTTGTTCAGTCTTTACATGTTCTTTCCCTGCTCTGTACAAACAAGCAATTCTCCCTAGAAACATTTAAAAGTTCTTCCTATAAATGAGGTACAAACATACCTGAAGCATGATTTCTTTAATTTCCCTTTGCTCTACCAAACATATGAGTTTCAGAGGTTTGGCAAAGGTTTGTAAAAGAAACAGTATTTATCTCACAACACAGATACATTTTGATGACCTCCTTTTTCAGTATTTAATGTTTTGACTCCAGATATGAATAGATGTCTGTAACCAGGTTTTAAAACTAATGAGGCATTTTCTTTCTCTTCAACTTCTGATTTATTGACTTATCTATCTGTATCTATCTTTTTTATTTTAATTTAATTTATTTATCTTTTACTGTTTCGTTCCGGTAAGGGTTGAAGATTACTAAAACAGTTTTCTAACACATCTCTCACCCTCCTTCCTCCTCTCTCATACACACGTTTTCCGTGTTCTGTGTTCACTTCCTATGGACATTTTAAACATTCTGGCTCATTAACATCCATAACTATTACAAATACAGTATGTGTCCATTTCTTAATCCTGACTCTAATCTGGCCCAACCCTAATCCTAAATTACTGAACCTAACCTCGAGAATTTATACGTGGGGACTTGACAAATATCCCCAGAAGAATGGTATTTTCCCCAAAATGTGTGATTTTTAAAGACATTGAGCAAATTACTTTACGTGTGTGTGTGTGTGTGTTGTGGGTGGACCCAGCAAAGCTATAAAAAGCAGGGTGGAGCAATGTAGGAGGGTCTGTGCAACTGTGAGACCACTCTCCTCCTCCTGATTCAACACTGTTGGAGGTTGAGACTTGGTGGATTTAAACACATTTTCTCAACTTATGCAGTTTTGATTTGCAGGCGTTGTGAAGGACTGGAGGTTGAGGTGGAACTCACTACCACAGCACAGCGCCTGACTTCACTCCTCATCTCACTGACTGCCACAAGCTCGGTGTGACCAGTGACTCACCTGTGGGCCTGCTGCCTGAGTTGAAGATGCTCAGAGACATTAAGGTTGTGGATTCTGCGGGGCGTGTGATAGGTGAGTCCTGCAACTGTCGACACACGGCACTCACATTAACACAGCCCGATGTTTAATCTAGTGCTGGTGCCTTTGTTTCAAAATGTCATGGTACACTTTATTGAACACATGAACCAAATATATATATACAAATATATGAAAATATACTAATATCATAACTAAGAACAGTAATGTTTTTATAATTATGTTCAAAATGTTATAATTAAAAACTATATTTCATCTGTGTTTAGAATGTGTGACGATCAGTTATTAGCTCTTTATTATTTTATCTACTTTACATATACATTTCATATGTTATTTATTTACTAATTATATCTGAAATATTACTTGATTTAATAAAAGTGATTTTTAAGGATTTTTTTATTTTGGAGAAAGACAATTTATTTTTTCCTTTCAGGGTTGTAACATTTTTCAAATATTTATGATTTGTTTTGGTTTTCATGTTTTATTTTTGAGATTACAATTGCGGGGAGATGGAGATTCCGATGCTGATGACAGATAAATAATCAGTTACATACTTTGTTCCATACACTGAGATTAATGGAGAAAATCTTCCAGAAAACACAGGGCTCAGAGTTCAGTGAACAATCTAGACAGGATCTAGATCACAGGTCAATAAGTAATTTTAAACGATAATAATTAAGTGATCATGATTTATTTGACATGTTTAATTTGACCTGGAGAATAAAAAGAAGCCTACATGTTGGCTGAAAATATTTACAGTTGTAATTTCACTAATTAGAATTATAATATATTTGGAGAAACTGATGCAGGAACACACACACACACACACAGTTTTTAGAATCCACTTCATTCATTTATTCTTAAAAATGTAAAATACATCAAATAACCTCTCAATCTTTAACATATTAATCCTGCTCTGTCACTTTGACACTGTTTTTTAAGGCGTGAAATAAGAGATGAGATGTGTGGAAAACAAAACTAAAAATAAAGAATAATAAAATGAAGAATTCAGGAAATAGTGCTGACATAGTCATCAATGTCCATGAGGTGACCAGTCCACGTACAGACATAAATCTATCCACTCACTAAAATCTATAAGTGTCTAAAAATGTACATTATGATTTTTTTTCTAAACCCTCCTCTTTGCCTTAAATGCCGAAAATTGTCTTTTTACTTATTTCAATTTCAAAGAGTAATTAATCGTAAGTATAATAAATGTGTTAATTCATCCGAGTAGAGTGAGACCTCTTTAGACAACAGAGACTTTTATTATCACAGAAAAACCTGTGTGCACAAACACACACACATCTAAATATCTGATTATAACTAATGAAACACATGCCATAACGAGTATTTAAGAAATTAAATACACTTCAATTGGCTTTGTTTGCATCAACCACTTTTAAAATATGCTTTAATTTTCATTTGATTGTGATTAAATTAAATTTTTTTTTAGTTTTAATTTACAATCACAATTCCTCTCCAGAAATAGACATGTTAACATAAAAATTACCTGCAAAGTAATTAATAATTAATTATATAATTAGGTGTGTGAGAGGAACCTGATGAAGGCTCTGAATAACAGTGGATAAATTAGGCTGAGTCTGTATCGGGAAATTGCAAATGCTTGAATGAGCCGTTAAACTTAGGTGACGACAACAAAGGAGGAAACAGCAACGTTCCCAGTACATTTGTTTTGGATATTTTTAAATTGATATTTATAAAGATGCTTTATTATCAATATTTTTTAAACACCCATCTTTCAGTAGTAAAATATAAAATAAAAATGAAGCTGTTGTTGACTCAGCCTTAGTGATTTAGTAACACGCTGGACTACAGGCAGCAGGAACTCAACCTCATCATCTGAATGGAATGATAGTGGAGGGACTTTGTTTATACTCATCTTAACATTAAGAACCTGCGACGAGTTTAACATTTCACTGAAGAGTTAAAACAGAGGACGCTGTGATTTTTACATAATTAACAAATGGATCATTAATTAATAACATTCTCATCTTGCAAACAGCCATAGTGTATTCTTCATGAAATGCAGCCATTCTTCAGACTGACTCTTCTAACGCCGTGTTATAAACACACTAAATTAGGGAGCATGCTTGTGCTCTAAGTCAAATGTCCGAATCAATAAGCAAGCAGACAAAGATTTCTACATGTGCGGTTGTATTTTTTGTATTTTTTTTTTTTTTGGCAGTTGTGTGTTCAATTTGTTTTTTAGTTACAATAAAAGCACAGTTTTACATCAAATACATTTAACATGCGATTTTTGAAGAATGAAGGATGTTCATTAACATTAAAAGAATGTGGGTTGTTATTATAAATTTGCCATGGGATGTTTATAGTTATTAATTAACAAATTAGTACCATATATTTGATTTTTGACAATTAAGAGCCTAAATGGCATTGATAATTAATTGCATTAAATTAAATTAAATTACATAAATTAAATGTAATTAATTTTCGGCCTACATTCTGTAGCACATACAAATTACCAACATAATTATTATGATTTACCAACATAATAATGTTAGCAACAACAGTTTCAGTTATAATAATATTAAAATATTAAAAACATCACATTTTTAAAGATATGGTACATAACTGTTTTTAATGTGCCATGTAACGTAACAACAAAAAAAGAATAAATATTTAAACAAAACAGACAAAGTGAGATTTATTAAAAGTGTTAATATTATTATTTTTTCTTGATGCACAAGGATCTAATGTTAAATACAAACTGACAATGTAGTGTAATTAGCAGTATGCAGCATATGATAATTAGGCATTGTTACACCTTTAACTTAAAAAGAAATGTAATATTATGTTAATGTTTTGAACGGCTGAATTTGATGTTTTTTAAACTCTGCTCTCACAGCCTCTCTCCCTCTCTCCTGTTTGTGTTCACATCTTCCCCTTACTTCCTTTCTTCTTCTTCCCTCGCTTCCCTCCTTTTTCTCCTCTCTTTCTCCTCTGCCATTCTTGATCACACTTTGCTCTTTTGTCCCTCTTTCCCCCCCCTGTTTCTCCTTCTTCGCCTCGCCTCTGTTCCTGCTTTTTGCCCTTCTCCATCTTCACCACCCTCCGCTTTCCTCGTCTACTCTCTTTTATTTCCCTTCCACTTCTCCTTTCTCCAGTAGATGTGAACCCCCCTTCTCCACCTCCCCCTCCTCCTTCCAACGCAGTGTGTGAAGGTTGTGCAGGCATCATCTCTGACC